TTTAGAGGATTGGTGGGAACTCCATGTCGCTAATCAATTTCGGTAGAAGGATCCGGAATGACTGCACGAATTCTTGGAATCCGCGGCGTGTCGTATCTACTGGAAGAGCTTCTTACCTTGGTGGTCTGAGGATGATTTCGCGTGTTGCATGTCTCTTTTGTGAGTGTTTGTAGGATTTCCTGCTCGTCGGGCTGTCCACAAATCGTACAGTCATTTCAAATATGCTGGCGAAAATTCTAACAGATATGAAGGGCCAGCATTCTCTAAATCTCTTCGTACCCGCCTCCACATCTCTCTCCCCCTCCCCCGGTCGTCCGTGCTGCTGGTGCTCGTTGTCCTCTGCTCTCGCCTCCGCCGTATGCTGCAGGTGCTCGTTGTCCTGATGCTGGTGCTCGCTGTCCGTGCTACTCGTCGCTGACGCTATGTGCTGTTGGTGCTCGTCGTCCTGCTGCTCTCACCTCCGCTGTGTGCTGTTGGTGCTTGTCGTGTGTGCTGATGGTGCTCGTCGTCCTGCTGCTCTTGCCTTCGCTGTGTGCTGTTGGTGCTCGCTGTGCTGTCCGTGCTGCTCGTCGCTGACGCTGTGTGCTACTGGTGCTTGGCGTCGTGGTGCTTGTTGTTGTCGTCCGACTGCTGGTGCTCGTCGTCCTGCTAGTGGTGCTCGTTGTCCTGGTGCTTGTCGACCCGGCGTGTGCTGCTGGTGCTCATCGTGTATGTTGCTGGTGTGTGCCGCTGGAGCTCGTCGTCCGTGCTGCTGGTGCTCGCTGTCCTATTGCGGGGGTGGCCTCCCAACGCGTCGTCTGTGCTGTGCACGGGAGCCCATCTCTATCAATCAAAGGTATGCTGGAAAGAAATTATGCGGTTTTATTGATCTTAACAAATGTATTAACGAATGCTGTATCTTATTCTATCTGTAGCGCTGGGGGATTCAGACAAGGGCGCCCAGGAAGTCTACCACCGTAGGCACCTTGACGTTTGTATGGCCCACGGTATACGAGTCTCTCTCGCTTGTCCATTGCGTGAACGCCACAGACGTGCTTTGCCATCAACGTGTGGATTCATGCCGCAAACTTCTGCCAGTAACGACACGGACACGTCCAAGACACTGTATTTACAGGCCAGCCACCGTCAGGCATTCCTTCAATCTCCATTCTGGCTGTCTGCTCACCGAGCTGAGCCGTGACTGGTAGCGCCTCGCGGGAACGCTTTGCCTCGGGGTCGAAGACACGGGGTACTTGGCGAATGATAACCCGGACAACCTGGGTTGAAGCGCTTCCACCTTCATCGGCATTGCTTAGCAAATATGCAATAGAGTTGCGGAGACATTGCGGCTCCAAAAGCATTCCGGCTTTTCTCATTGCACTGGCGCGCCGAACAAGGGTGACACTTGGTGCTGGGTCCACACCAAATGATCTTGAAGTGGTGAATTCGGGAGTGCAGCATGCCATTAGCTGACGGAGCAGAGAGCCTATTTTCATCCTTACACGCAGCGTGTTATCGCGTTTGAGGGACGCATTGAACGTTTCAACAGGGTTATTTGTCACAGCAAATGCCGGAGGAGTATGGAAGACCTGCCACCTCCAAAATCGACCCGTCAACCATTTGCGCTTGAAATATTCCGTGAAACTCTCAAGACCCGGAATCAGCGCCCAGTCGTTCAACATTCGTGTCTTGACTTCTTCATACTCCAACTCACTGGCGGCAAAGTGCAGGTCATGAACACCTCTAGCCACTACAGGGTAGAGAGAATGGTGGAGCTTCCTCGTCTTCTCATGCACTTTTGCAGCTACATGGTAAAAGCACATGAGTACTTTAACTTCGCTATCAGCTCCGAGTACACAAGCGACGGCATTGTATTGAGCGTCGTCGGCGTCGGCGTCGCCCATCGCAAATCGCACAGCTAGTTGTTTACCGGTCACTTGAGAGTAGACCTTCCGAAGGGCCATTAGCGCCTCAGAAAGATGTATTTCTTTCCTTTGCGAAGACACAAAAATTGCCATGAGATGAAACTTTCGACAACAGTCTGTGATGCCTACGCAAACACAGGGTAGTCAACGTGGTTCAATTTGAACGTTGCGTCCATGTGCAGGACAAACGTCGCAGGATCTCGATCTGCCTGGCGCAGTAGCTTCTTCGATGACACTCCCATCAAAAACGGGTTTGCATCAGCTCCCGACCCAACGTACGGTCTTCCCTCTTCTTCCGTTCTCCACGTAAATGAAAAGGCATCGAAATCTTGCTCCTGACCTGTGAAGGATGTTTCGCGAACCATACGCCTCACGTCGTCGAGGTAGTCGTTGGCATTAACGGTTTAAGCAAGGTAGTTGTAGACGAAACGTTGCACGACCTTTAGAGGCGGCAACGTATCGAGGCCAAGCTTAAACTTTCGCATTAATCCGGAACGGATCCGCGCTGGCTTAAGCACTTGATCCGCCATTTCATTGATAAAACTCTGCATTGCTCGCGTAATGCGGGGTGGCCGAGGCGATCGGCGAGTACTTACGTGCGAGCCTACCTTGAAGAGATCAAGGAGATCTTCTTGCTCGCACTTCAGCAGCTTTCCGCGCCACTCGCATCCAGCGTACGGCATTGCAGCCTTACACTCGTTGCACGCGCAGCGTAACAGGCGCTTTCTCATGTTTTGGGCGCAGCGTTGGTGCAGACAGTGCATGGAACATGGTCGCTTTTTACAATTTTGTAGCTTTAAAATGACCCCAGAAGTAGATCGATGTCTTCCTGGTTCAGGCCGACAGCAAGTTCCGTCCAGGGTAAGGCGCGAGGCATGGTTCGATGGTGGAGAGGGGTGTGTAGCTGCGTGGAGTCTTTAAAAGTGAGCCAACACATTTGTCTCTATGCTAGTGTGGTATTGGTTAAAACAGTGCTACTGATAAGTTTCGATTGGGTGCTAAATGAATGGCTATAATAATTAAGGATTTCAGTGTCAGTACACTCACTTTGAGTGCTGTCAAACTCTATTCAGTGTTATTATTTGTCCAAAGATGCAAAAACAGAGGTTTATGGTGCTAGTAGTATAGTGTGGGTGGTACATAATTTGCTTGGGTGTTGTGAGGACGTTCTCCTTTGATCACTATTTCAATAAACCGCTGTATCTTTTGTACTTCGAAGTAAATACGTCGCATCTTATTATAAATATACCGCCCGATACAAATGCCAAATCAGATCAGTTTTGCCAGAATATTCGTTTTTAAATACTTGTAGTAATTTTTTAAATCGCTTTTTTGGAAATGCGCAATAATGTACAGTGTATTATTAATAGAGCATCGTAAGCTGACAAGAATGGGAAGAACGGTACCTGTTGGAAGAGCTACGGTGCCTATTAATATTGAGTGTGCTCGTTTAAAAAAAATGAAAGCAAGACACTTAAACGAGGACACCCAAAAGGCGCCGTAGCTCAAAGCAATGCTTTGATCGGTGAAACTTTTTAATAATAATACATGAAAGCTCTTTCCATACCAGGTATCAAAGGACGGCCATCGTATCGCCGACAGGAAGCATGTTGTCCGCTTGCACTTTCATTTCAGTGTACACTGTACACTGTACAGTACATTAATCTACCGGTACCTACATGTATCTTGAAAACACACATACACATGATACACGTGTTTTGAAGTAAAAATGCAATGAACTGTATGCATAAATTACTACTTCAAATTTTTTTTGAAGTAACATTAAGTCGAATACTGTTGTGCACGACCAAAACTTATGCTTTTAATAATATTTAAAGTTCAATATTGATAAATGTACAGTATTTACACCTAGCTATACGAACACTACACTACCAAAGAGGCTTAGCCTTATGACTACTGTATTAACTAGCATTATGAGCGCGAGGAAACGTGTACAGCACTACTATTTAAACGTTCGATTCAGTACAAATGTAAAGGCATAATCAATAACTTTCTGCACGTGATATTGCATAAGTTCGCAGAAAACGAATGCTTTGCAGAGCTATCGGAGCTGCACATCCTCAAAAAGGTAGAACAAAGCATCGAATGCTTACCGGTGTTGGCGATTGTGACTTGGACTGGAAGTTCCAGTCTGGAAAACGTTCATTCGACAATCCACCCGTTGGTGGAAATCCTCCACTCTTCCTGGTCTGCCAAAGAGTACAGTTACAGGCCATCATGCACCTTCACTGCGTTCTGATGGTACTGGTAGCCATTCTTGCTGCCAGCAATGGCGCAGTGTCGGCTACTATCGTCAAAGAAGACTCCGAGCACGTCAAGATTAATCGTGCTCACTCAATTCAAACTCTTCAGACAGACACCAGACGTAAGCGATTCTTACGCACTGAAGACAAATTTAATACTGACTACTACTACGACCCGGCCAAACGAGATGACCATCGATCGGCGTTCATTGAGAACAAACTTGAGAAATCGCTGACAAACCCAAGAAAAACAACGAAGTTGTATGAGCAATGGTACAAGAGGGGATACACGCTGAAAAGAGTGTCCAGTGGATTGAACCAAGATGAAAATAGAGAGCTCCAAAGGGTTTACCAAGAGCTCGCCCATGGGTATGCGGCGTACATCAAGAAAGAGAAGAGGGGGAAGCCTAGGAAAGACTAAGCTACCTTCATTCCAGTGAAACAGCTTTCACCGACTGATAGGTAAGTTCAAACGAAATTGACATGTGAACAAAATTCTTGAAGTTATTGTTTCGAGCAAGCTGTATGGCATAATACAACAATGCTTTAATATCATGGAGCATTTTTGCTTGCATAACACTGCATATGTAGTATGAGCTGTACACGCATAAGAGATTGATACACCGAAGACGCAAAAGCTCGTAAGTATAAAGCGAGTGATATCGCGTTAGTTGATTCACGATAAAACACCTAAATGATTTTTTTAATAAACATGTTGTGTATTATAGTTGGCCACACATTCAATATTGTGGTAAGACCCTCCATGGAGCTCGTCACGGCTAAAGAAGGTAATGCCCGAAGATGAATGTTTGTTGATTGATTTTGGAGGCCCTGGCAATTCGGCTACACTATCGGTGTTAAAAATACCGGTAGTGCTTGTCGAATTATCATCTTTATTTTTAAAGTGAATAAGATTTTATTTTAATTTTTAAAAGATGATTGGAGAAAGCATTGTCCTTTCGTGGTGTGTTGAAGCCGCGGCTTATCATTACTGCCAAAACTGTACGGAACGCAAAAGCACCGATTGAGATTTGCTAAATATGATGATTCCTACGGTTCTACCGCGGCGTTACCGGTACCTAGAATAAATCTCTGCCATCGATACCGGTACGTTACTACTCGACCCCCTTTTGTCAACATAGAATTAGAGCATGCAACTACGCTACATCCTGCTGCTGGCCGCGGCCACCCTTGCTACAGCGAGTAGCACGACCTCAGCAGCGAGTGGCACCCGCGACCCCAAGACCCCGACCGTGGCCTCCAACCACCACATTGAAAAGACGGTGACGGCCCAAGCTGACCACGAGTTCATGCGGTCCCTGCTTGAGGATGACGACAACAGTGCTACCCAGGGCCAAACCTTCATGGAACACAAACTGAAGAAGATGCTAACGAACCCAAAAAAAGCGAAGCAGCTGTATCAGCACTGGCACAAGAAGGGATACACTGCTAAGCAAGTGGCCAGCGACCTTGGCCAGACAGAGAATCGAGCGCTAGATCAGACTTACAAGAAAATAGCGAAAGAGTATGCAGCGTTTGTCAAGGAGCAATCTGTATAGCCAATTACATGCAGGATCCGCAACTAGGCTTACAGCTCGATAAACCATCTCGACGAAGATTACATTGTAACGTGTTTAAATTTTTGTGCAGTTCTGTCAGTCTACTAGTACAATGTTATTCAACAGTGACAGCGGTAACTGTTGACGCGCGCGACGCCCCGGATTAAGCTAACGGAATAACCTTAGCCGTTCTCAAATGACGACGAAAAGCTACCACTTTCCGAAATTCGGTTGCACCAGACTCAAAGAACTCACACTTTACAATTGCTTTTACGTACTTGGAAGTGTTGAGTACCGGTACTACCTTCCTACTCGCTTTTTTTTAACGTTGAGCCGAACAGCTTCAGTGCTACTACCTCCGCACGGAAAACTATATCGTCTGCGACTTACGCTGAGAGCACCGTTTTTTTTACCTAGTGTACCTTTGTGCTAAGCTTAGGCCCAGGAAAGATCGTACTTATTCTAGCGGAGAATATTCACCATACATATTATGCGTCATTGTCGTCACCTAATGCTTTTATTCGACGCGGTATGCAAATTGATTCGCTGACTAGCGCAATTGCTGTAGACGCTTTGGGAGATAGGTCGCTTGTTCAGGGATGTAGACACGTACTGAGGTGCAAACTTTATTGCTTGTGTGTTGTGCTTTCAGCATAGGTGTCTAAATTAAAACCTCATTATTTTTTACAGAAAGCGTATTGGTATTGGTGAGATTTTTCCCAAACTAAAAAAAAACAATTTAAAATGTAAGAGCAAAAAAAATCAATTGAAATTGAATTTTTTACAGTATCAACAACGCTTCATCTCATCTTCTAAAAGCGGTATTAAGTGTGGTCCGGTAGCGCAAGTGACAGGGAAACATTTATTTTTGTAAGGATTAAAAAAAAAGCACATATTTTCTGGGCAATCTGAATCGCAACTGCACCAATGATGCCGTTAATCTAGATTGGCAAAGGATGGAGTGCTAAAATTGAAAGTTGCAAGCTCATGCTCCAGCAGCAGCTACTGCTGGAGTATTGTGCAAGGAAGATGGTGAAGGAACTTGGACGGAGATGTGAGAAGTAAAAGCGTATTTCGAAGTGAGTACTTTAGTAAGTAGTTCGAGGCTAATGAGCCGCTACTCATTTACCCACTAAGCGACTGCTACGAGCAGACGCCCCGTCGGTCGTTATCGCAACACGCCTTCTCGAGTCGTGTGGGTACGTTCTAGCATGGTTTCATTGTGTTCGTGTTTTCAGGTGGCGTTGTAAGTCGCAGGGCTTTCACCAATCGCTGGTGAATCTGTGTGCCAAATGGGTTGGTTACTGTGTCGGCCTCCTTCATACCTTCGGTGGGGCATTACTTCATGTTGGGTTCTCCTCGCTCGATTGTGTCACGAATAAAGTGAAACTTGATGTTCACATGCTTTATTCTGTCAGTCGTGATCTCGTTCTCCATGGTCTTGATCACACTTTGGCTATCAAGCTCAGGGCAGACCGGATCCGTTTGTGCCTTGAGCATCAGCTCTTGCAGCAGCTAACGGACCCTAAGACATTCCTTGACTGCGATGCTGCCTGCGATATACTCGGCCTCAGCGGTTGACAGCGCCACTGTGGGTTGCTTCTTGGCGAACCAGACGACAGTCATCCACTTTATTTAATAAGGGCTCCAGAAGCTGACTTGTCTGTCTTTCGACCCCAGCCCAATCGACGTCATTGAACATTACACTCGCCAGCAAGAGTTGTAACGACGCGGCTTCTCTTCGCTATAGCCTCGATGGCAGCTCCGTTTGCGACTCGGATTGGTAAATACGTTGGCTGTAGGCCTCACCGGTACCACAAAGTGGTATGTTGCTCATGAATCTAGTAGCCGATCTGACGAATCGGTTGACGTAGTTGTTGTTGCCACTGCCATCCAGACACCACCTCCGTCGCTGGAATCAGCTTCATTTGCACCACCACTATTGTCACACGCCGCTACAGCATTCACTGGCACCAGCTGCCTTGCGTTGATCACGAACGAGCAGTCAGTAATCTTGCACTTGGGGTCGCTATAGGCGTAGCATTTCGCCACCGCTGCAGCGTGTCCTTCTACCGTTGCATCGTGACGCGGGGTAAGCGGGGATGGCTTGTGGGGGGCTCGATACTTCTACTTTTGCTCTATGTGGCTATTTTCGGCATGCGCACGCTTTCCAACCCCATGTTTGCGCCTGTCGCCTCGTTGCTGATAGCGTGGTGATCTGGGATGTTCGTCTTCGTCTAGGCGAGGATTGCGGAAAACTACGTTGGCGTAGACGTGTTCCGCAAGCTCAGACCGAGCAGTAGACTTGCAACAGCACTCCTTCATGGGTCCCCCAATGAGCTTGTGAAACTCCAAATATTGATTTTAGGGGTCACCGGCGCGATTGAAGCATTGGAGGCGATTGTTCAGCTCAAGATGACTTGAGCTTGCACTCGAATTCATCATGGAATCGTTGGCTTCAATTTGACGTAGGGGATGATCGCACCACGGTGTCTTTTAAGCTCTTCCGTTCACGTTGAGCCATTCAAAAGGGTTTCTGCTCGAAAGGCGTGCTCGTAAAAAATGATGAAGTATTCAAACCCGACACTTTTTCAGTGCGTACGGTTCAACAGTATGCGTGTGTCAGTAAAATTGCTGACACTGTAGTGCGAGTACAATACATGTACAAAGCTTTTGCCCAGTATACTAGAACTGTTTGCCTGTACAATAAATTAGGCAAATACAGACATGTAATCAGCACGAATATCTCAACCACAGTAACCAAACGCGAAATATAGTCGAATCAGCGTCAGTTATACTAGCATTATTTTGATCAGTCAGCTTAGAGAGCCCAAGCGCAACGAGAGGGGGAATAAATTCTCACTTGGCGGTCATAGCGCCAGTTCTTGTATATAGCCAAAGGAAGTTGAATAATCTGTAAAAAAGCTAAATAGCCTTATTTTGAGTATTTCATTATCATATCTACCTCGTGCTACACACACTCAAACGACTCCACTATGAGCAGGAATACCGCTGCTTACTTCTTCGAGAGTCTTCATGACAGTTTTATTCGATGTAATTCACGGGGCACGGCGCGCAAACTCCGCAAATACGGGCTGCGCCGACCCGATTGGGCATCTGACGATGCAGCACGGCGACGATTGGGATCGGTACAGCCGACAACTGCTTCCCAATATCTGGCGACTTTGGTTTCGTGTCTAAGCCCACCAACGCTCGTTTCAAATGGATGCGTTTAGTCGTGGTCCAAACCCTGGTGGACAGCTAGCTGACAAGTGTTATGTCACGGACTCTGACAGAATCTGCACTTGTGTCATATCTGCCCATGACACTTGTTAAAGCTGGCTAGGTTTTGGAGTCTTCTTTCAAAGCGATTAGATTGTGGTGTCGGTTTCATTTCTGCAACCTTCCCTCCACAGCCCCGAGTCCCTTGACCCTTGGGCAGATACGATTTAGCCCTCCACCATCTTACGATAGACGGCCAGCGCTCAAAGCTACTTGATTACCGCAGCGAAGTTGTTCGGGTGGTAAAGCTAAATATTAAGTGAGTACACGGTATCCGGAATGCGTTCATACTCCGCATAGCCCTATTGGTGGCTAGGCTACATCTCTAGCTAGTGCGTCCCATAGAGCTGTGTATCTTGCGCCCCCCCAGTAGATTGTGGTGCCTGTCCGTCAGTACGTTCGTACGTAGCGGCTAGGTTAAATAAACCTCACGCAAACACGCACGTTCTACTGGTTGAGCGAAGGCGGCGTCGTTTCGCAGAAATCTAATTATATGTGGTGTACACATTGTACCCCCCCCCACCCCACCCCCTCGAGCCAGACGGCCTCAAGCTGCAGCTCCAGCTGTGTGCCTGTTGCGAGCAATTCTTAGGATAAGATGCATTCGCGCATGCGAGGCTCGAGCAGGTGCTCGCGGGTGCATCGCGTGCGCCTCTGGTCCATACAGCCAGGCGTTTTAGCACCGTCCACACGCACCAGCACCGAAGCCAGCCACTTTCTCGCGCCAACAAAGCGTGGCCGTAGATGCCGCCACTTTGCCCCCCCCCACAACCACCGCGGCGTGTTGTCTAGGAGCGTGTTAGCCGCCGCCGTCATTGCTGGAAGGCAACAAGCATCCACGTAATCTCCAGAAGAAGTTATTGGCAAAACCTAAATACTTTGCATTGGTCACAGTTACTGTCAAATTTTGGTGCGTAGTATGCGAGCTTAGGAGAGGGCGTGAGCCTAGGAGAAGGTGCGAACTTACCGAAATTGATTTGTAGCGCAGTAAGAAACAGTGTGTACGACGAGAGGGAAGCATAGATAAACACAGAACTACGAAGCACGGAAGCGGAGGCACTCATCCCATTTACGAGTGAAGTAGTAGTAAATTCAATCCTGATGCACAACCGTTTGAGAGAATTACGTGCAGAATCATATTCTTATCGGGTAGTTGAGTAGATCATTTTGTGAACCGCTGCATCTATCTGAGAGGCTGCTTCATCATCAACTTTCCCAAATTCTGGTTTGGAACGCTTTTCTTTGAGGTATTTATTAACGTGGAAATTGCAAATAAAGACACGTACCTCAGGAAAGTGAGATTGCGACACTCGCACTTCGTTTAAAGTCTTGTCGACGATTATCACTCTCAGCATTTTGAGACCGTCCCGAGTGAGCTCACTAGACATTGCTCGATTGCACGGTCCATATGCCAATCGCCGTCTGCTTCCAAAAGAGAGTGCTGCGCAGCAACTCCTTCGCCAAACTTATTCGTTACCATGAGTGTCAGAAGCTGATAGTTATATCTGCTCCGAAATAAATCCTGGTGTAATCCTGCAATACGCTTATGTAAATCCTGGATTATGTTATGCTTACCTGTTCGTTGTGTGAGTGCAGTCAACCAAGAAAACGCTGCCAAACAGACTGAATATCTTCCTCATTTACGAAGATGACAGCGACAGCACGCCAGTCTTCCCGCTCCCAGTTTCAGAAATGCTCGTGCAATTCATGGGATCTGC